TAATGACATTATTATCGCCGTATTGTTGAAAAAGTCTGTTTTGAGATAGTCTAAATAACACATATTTCCTAGATAAGCATGATAGTTCTAGAATTACTGCTCATTAAACCTTTGTTAAGCATTCTCTGGATTGTCCAATAAATTTGGAGTACTGTTGTATGAACCACATTTGAGATCAAAAGAAGCTTGTTTCACAATTTTTAAAATAAATTGCCACTGGGTTAAAAAGACATCTAATTTTTGAGTTTGCATACCTGTCAGCTTTTAGGGATTAAAAAGAAATGGGACCCCAGATGTATGTCTAGACATTGTAGATAGACTAATGCGCTCAATCTTTGTTCTTACATAGAATTAGCCAAAATAATTTTCTGATATCTCATAGCAGTCAAAATAATTTATCAGGCTAAAGATAGAAGTTAAAACTGCAAACCTTACTTGGAATTATTGGTTTAAGGTCTTTGATTTCAGTGGATGACACAATTTTGCACAGGATAATAGAAAAGAATATTTAGTGTGCAAATAGATGATAATTGTTAAAACAATCAACTTATTGTAGTGGTCTTCAATCAGGTTATGTGTAAAAATATTAACAATATAGTGCAAATTCATTCCACAAGTAAAAAACATCTCAAAAATAACTTAGAATATAAATTTACCAAAAAGTGTAAAAAAAAATTAAAATTGTTCTTTTCAATTGTGAATACTAAGTAAAAAAATCTCTTTTTATGATCCTGTAATCCCTAGGAAGCAATTTAAGAAATCTGAATTTCTCAATATAAACCACTCCTGTCATTCCAAGCAAAAGAGTTTATTGAGTAGAGTCTAATTTCTCACTTAGTTTTAAGTTATTAAAATTTGAGATAATTTTACTTGAAGGACAAAAGCTTTACTTAAGTTTGGTTAAATTTAAAACCAAACCTGTTTATAATAGAGTCATCCTGTTTTATAAAAGCAAAGGATATGGTTTTTTCCCCCTTAACATCCACATTGGTTTCTTAACTTCTTTCTTTTCTAAAGTAGAATTAGCTCTGATCCTAGTTCCTTTGTATTATTCCGCTTTTTAAAATTTTGTTCTCTATATGACATTTATTGTACAGGTAGTCCTCAAGTTACAACCATTTGTTTAGTGACTGTGAAGTCACTGTGAAGTGTCTTACAACTTTTGCAGCATCCTCATGGTTCATGTGATCAAAATTTAGACGCTTGGCAACTGGCATGTACTTATGATGGTTGCAATGTCCCAGGGTCATGTGATCACCTTTGGCGACCTTCTAACAAGCAAAATCAATGGGGAGGACAGATTCACTTAACAACCATGTTACTAACTGAACAACTAAAGAGATTCACTTAACAACTGTGGCAAGAAAGGTTGTAAAATGGGGAGTGATTCACTTTATAACGGTCTTGCTTAGCAACAGAAACTTTGGGCTCAGTTGTGATTATAAGTCAAGGACTATCTGTAGTTTGGTAAGACTGACACAACAGCAGCTTTTATAATCCTACTTCTGCACACATGTTTCAGCTAAATAATAATACGTATCATAATATAATGTAATCTATGTAATGTAATGTAATACAAGATAACATATTTTAAAATGCTGTATGAATGTTAGCATATGGATTAAGCATCCCAAGCTGTTCTACAGAAAAAATTATAATGCCCTGAAATCACACAGGTGTCTGATATATAAATGAAAACAGACACAGAAGCCATTATACTGTCTGCAGAGAATAAAACAATAAAACAACATTTTCTTTAACTGCTTGTAATAACTTGTCATGTGTTCTCAAAAGGACTTTCCCTCAATATAAGAAAAAGCTTGTGGTTGGAGCACTTATAAAAATATAAGGGAAAAATGGAAGTCAGCAAACTGGGAATAAAAAAATGCAATTTTCAGGAAACCAGTTTGAGTTTTGAATGATGTTAGTTTATATCATTCAAATATATATAAGTCACTAGAATTGTACAATTTCTTACTAATGTTCATATACTTTCTCGATTGGTTTTAGGAGGTTGGTGCTGAACTTGAATTTGTCTTTCCTGACAAGAATATGAACATTGATCAAAAATTTTGTCCTATTTGTGATCAGAAATAAAAACAGTGTCTATGTGTTAAAGCAGCGGTTCTCAACCTATGGGTCACGACCCCATTTGGGGTCGATCGACCATTTCACGGGGGTCGCCAAGCAAGGCTGTCTGCCATTTTTTTCCCCTTTTCCGGCGGGTGCCTTACCTCCCTTGAGCTGGGCCAGCTGGTGGTCGGCCTGCTCCGTCTCTGCCGCTTGCCAGCTACGCCTCGGCCGGCGCAGGGGGCGTAACCACGCATGCGCGGCGCTCCCGGGCAGGGAAAGTCCTCGACTTACGACCGGTTTAGTCCTCGACTTACGACCGGTTTAGTCCTTGACTTACGACCGGTTGGGGGTCGCGGCATTAAAAAGGTTGAGAACCACTGTGTTAAAGTAATGTCACAGTGTTAGTTTGCTAAGGCATTGTTTTAAATCTGGTATATACACTGGCAGAAAAACATAATTCAAAGCTGCCGAGTCATAAGAATAATTCTCCTTTACTCTAAAAAAAAAAAAGAATTGGCATTGGCATTGTGTTTCCATTGTCTTTCTCCTCCTCCTTTTGACCTTCAGTTCAGGCAAGCATATTTCCCATGCAGCAGCTCCACCTCATAAGCAATACTAGGAAAATCCAGAGACCCAGAGCTTTCGTGCTTCTTCAATCATTTCACTTTAAATGGCTGCTCCCTGTGGTCCATATGAAGATTTGGTTATTTCAAGGAACAGAATTCAGCACGCTTTATCTCTGCATGATTCCTTTTCTTGTGAACATTTTTTTTCAGAACAATCTGACTTCTCACTGGTTGAAGTCCAATCCTCCTGGTGGATTGTCCTCCTTAGTGCCTAAGAGCCTGATTCAAACCAATTACATTGCAACTAAAAACGCTTTCTTGGTTCATGTTTTTTTATCTCCAAAATTGCTCTTCACTAAGGGGAAGAAGTGCTTTCTTGCATTTTGATTTCTACCCATAAATAAATTCATATCAGTACATTTCTGTCTGCTCTACATGCAAACCCCAAAGCTCCTGTATTATCCTAATTGCCCTTATTTCTTAGTTAGAAGAAAGAGATTAATGTAGCCTATTTCCATCTTGGGATCATTAAGTTTATCTGGCTCCCTTTCAGTCAGAATTCAGACCTGGACATGGGAATGAAATGGCATCTCTTTCTCTCTGGTGTATGACTTAAGTGCAGGCTACAGGTACAGTCCTCCTGGTCCTCTTGTTTGCTATCCTCAACTATGGAATTCCTCAAAGGTTTGCATATCATTCTTGGGAAGAGGGGGATATAGATTTAGAAAGCTTCTGCTCTTTCCTGAGAATTCAGTTCCAGTTGGTACTAGGGAAGAACAACCATCGCAGACAAGTATCTCCCTATGCTTCTTGGCAGCAGTCACAGATAATTTTATATTTTAGCTTCATAAATCACACATTCATTTTTAATTTTCTTTTCAGCAAAAAGCCCATAAGAGGATTCCATTCACTAATAAATGTAGTTATTGATCTTGGTCTAACCAAACAAGTTACTTCTGCTATCTTTGCTACTTCTGCCATCTTCACCAACTACTTCTCCAATGTGGGTATTTTAGAGCCTTTCCATTTTTGCACATATAATAGTCTTACAGTAGTAATCATATATAAAAACAATCTTCCATGGCTCTGTCCAATTGACTGCCCATAAATCTCGGTAGTTCTGATGTCAGTTGAATATTATCTTTAAAATTATTTGTGTCATTATATGACTTGAGCCCAAAAATCTCTAGCCTTTTTACAAGTCTGCTAGGCATGATAAAATGACTGTTCATATTGCCCACATTTCCAACATAAATTTGAAGTACTTTTATGCATTCTAGACAATTTTTCTGGAGTCACATACCAATGGTACATCATTTTATAAAAAGTCTCTCAAGTTACAACAAAATGTAAATATCAGTCCTTTTAATCACATTTTCCCACTGTTCCATCAGTTTGTTATGTGCAAACAAACGTGTTATGTTAGCCCATTTTATAAGTCTTTCACTTGTTCTTTTTCTGCTTCAAATTTCAATAAAAATTTATACATTTTAGCAATTATATGCTCATCATTTATACATAGTTTAACCTCAAATTCTGTTTCTCTTGCTCAATTCCAAATGTCCTATTATCTACTTTTAATCTTTCTTTTAACTGTGAATATAAAACCCATTGAAAACTGTTATCTACAGCCAATTGCTCTTGGATATGTCAATCTTAACTGAAGGATTGCCACCAGGTTAATGAGATTTAAAAGGAAATTAGATAATTCAGTGGCAAATTAATTGTTAATTGTGATGATTATATCTTATTTCTAATATTGGAGGCAGCATGTTAGTATAAGTTGCTGGAAACACACATTAAAGAGTTTTATTTACCACCTTTATTTTTCCATGTATAGTAGAAACAAACTATTGAATCTATTTCAATTTGAGGGGTCTTTGGTGCTCTCTCAGCTTGCTTGTTTTCTTGCAAACATTTCATTACCCTAACTAGTTAACATCATCAATGTACTGATGATATTACCTAGTTTGGGTAATGAAACATTTGCAAGAAAGCAAGAAAGCTGAGAAAGCACCAAGGACCCCTCATTTCAATTCTGAAGCTACAAATATTGCTACTTCAGTTTTTCTTTATATTCTAAATATTTAAGATATACATGATTTTATATTTGCAAAACCTGGAAGATGTCTTCAGTCCCAGAACATCTCAGTGTAAGACAAAGTTGCTGTTCATTGATGATAGGTAGCTTAAGATGAATGATTATGAAAAGATATTACAATAGTGCTACTCTTTCTAACCAAATCCAGGAAGAAATTTTATAGCAGTGAACAACCTGGCCTATTACAACTTGTTTGAAACATCTGTGCTAAGAAGACACTTTTTAGAGAAAGTTTAAAGTATAACATTTTCTTTCCTTAGGGATGTATACTAGTTCCAGCACAAACCACAATGGACCATCACCTGGCCTTCTACCACCACATCAGGATGTTCTGTCGAGGCAACACATACTCGAGTCGGCTCTCACTAGTGCACATCATCATGTATCATCCATAGAAAGTGATGGAGAAGGGTACGTAATAAAATATTTTGCCATTTTTAATGTTCCAACTTTCTCTCTTTCATTTGGGGGGGGGGGTCTCCTGAACCCAGGAACAGGAAAGATCTTTGCATGCAGTCATCTGTGTTCAGCCTGCTATTACATGTGAAATTTCATTGGCTGGCAACTATTCTTCCATTAGAAAAAAGAATTAGCTTTCTCTAAACTCTTTCTTAAAGATACATATTGGAAAAGTGAAGGGCAAAAGAGTGACTCTTTCTGAGCTTCATTTATAAATCATGTTAGGGTGCTAAGAAACCAAAATAGATCCCTTAATGGATGAAAGGTCACTTGCCTAAGACTTATTGATCCATGGAACTTGTAGGACAGTCCTGTTAGATTGTGGTAACAAAAAATCTGAAAGCGTCTTGTTTTACCCTTTCTGACTATCAAATTATTTTAAAAGGTATAAGATTTTGTGTAACTCACTTCATCAGATGCATAGAGCCACATCTGTGTGTTTTTCCCCTGAAACTTGAGCTCTGTGCTCATACCTTCCCACGTCCTCTTCTCATGTGATTGAGTATATGCATTTGGGGAATTACATTTTCTTTTACATTAAATATGGGTAAGTGGGGATACACATATACACACTTTTAAAAGGTACTTTTGAAAACTACTGTTATGTGGTAAAATTGGATAAACTGAATTCCTCTGAGTTCAAAACAAATTATAGATGGCAGTGTTTTATTTCAAAAGTATACTTAGGAAAGAGGTTAAGATTGTAGCTTCTAATGATGACAGGCCTTCAGGGTGGAGAAAGAGAAAATTATATGTGACCTATAATAATGCCTATAACTGTATGGCTTACTAAACCAGCATCTATCAGCCCTATTTGGATAGTGGGAAAATTAAGTTTTCTGAGGTCCAGTAATTTTTCAGACATTCAAAAACTTAGTGTATTTAAAGAAAATGGAGCCTCCATCCAATTTCTATTAGAAAGTTTTCCCATACTGCAATTATAAAGGCTTGCTCTTTTTGGCCACCCAGCTTTTGTTCTACTTTGACTTTGCTCCCATAAAAAACCTGAATCACACACTGCAAGAAGAGTGATCTTTAATTTTGAGAAGTAAATAAAAACTGGAAGAAACTGTTTCAAATGTGGAACTTGTAGATGTTCCCTAAACATTATTTAAAGGAAAAGATTTTGTTTCTGACTCTGTTCTGATATTGCCTAATTATGCTTAGGTTCCAATTTGTTAAGCAACAGCATGTTAAATGTTATTAGCAAGTGTAAAAACCCAGTCTTTGCACAATTGTAAATACAATTTTGGATTACACACACTTTTTAAAATAACTTCATCTGCTTACCATATCATGGAGCACTGGATTAAGTGATTAATTCACTCCTAGTCCAGAAGGAATTCTAGTTTTTCAGATATAATCTTTATGACCTCCTCATAAATTATTTTATGAAGTAGTATGTCAAGTTATTTTAAAAAGTGTGTGTATTCTTGCAAACATCCATGTATGTTATGGTTTTCCTATAAATATAAATCAATTGATGTTCCTTCCTTGGAAAGCAACCTGCACATGAAGTTGGGACTACAGCTCAGAATTTGTGGCTTGCCAAAGATCAGTAAAGACTAGATTTTTCCCTGTTGTAACATTCCACTTGAGGGAGTAGAATATTGGGAATACAAATAGAGGGTGGGGATTTTTTGTTTGTTTGTTTCTGTTTTTTTTCCCTTCTCCACTTACTTCCTTAGGTCTTCATTGACTTCATTGTCTCTTCTGATTTTTCTCTTCCCATTGTCATGATACTGATTTTGATCCTTCTTAAGGAAATCCATTAAGAACCTTTTTCCTAGTTATATATTACTGATTGATTTATTCCTTTCCATTTATGTAATCTCTATTGTGTCAAAGGCATATGAAACAAGCCAAGTGATTTCACTTTTTATTGGATGTTCCTCCTTAAGTTTCTGCCAGGAACAAATTTAATATTTATTGGCTTTGACTGTAACTGGATTGAATTTGGAGAGATTGCTAAACATGCAATGGAAGAACATGCTAATCTTAAGAAAGCAAACAATGTCATTATGCTTTTTAACTATGCTTTTTTTCAGAAGCAAGTCTAACATTTAATTGACTTTAATCCAGAATCTATTTGTCTGAGAACTAGGAATGCCTGAAAACTAACAAAACTCGCACTCTAACATATTAATTTGAATACTTTTTAATGAGATTTTAAAAAAAATCTAGTAATCCTTTTGATGGTAGAGTAAATTATTCTAAATGCAAGAAGAAATATATATTTAAAATTATGCTACTGGTCTCTTGCTTAATTTTGGGGTTGCATGTAGAAGAATATCTTTAACTTTAGAAGTTTATTAAATTGGAAAATATTTTATATCAGATTATAGTGTGTATATGTAAATTATATGATAGCCATTATATGCCACTAGTTTATAATACTATTTATTCTAGTCATAATGATCTCACTAACAGGATTTGTTTTAGCAACATAATTTGTGGCATGTTTCCATCATAATGGGTTTTGTAATACATTCTGTTTACACAGGTCCATATTTCCTATGCTGAATTTTGAAGTAAACCACCAGTTGTTTTTAAGACAAGACATTCTCTATAGTCCCACAGTTTTATATTTGGGAATATCTTAAGTCAAAGAATTGCAGTATTGTGGAAGGGGGTTATAGTGAATGCTATATTAAATCTCTCATCATTGATACTTTGCTGTCATTTGCCTGAAGTAAGCTAGTAAAATGGTGTTCAGACAAATCTGAAACACACCATCTGAATAGTTTTTCATAGCAAATTAAGGGATTGAATCTTTTCTGAAAAGTTTATGATTCCCCTAAGCCTAAGGTTAGGACTCTGGGACTCTTTTTGGATTCATCACTGCTAGAAGAAGCTCCAATGGATTATGTGGCATGGCTTTTTAATCAGTTGGTATCACATCCTAATTCTGTCTGCAAGTGGATAATCCACCATGATTCATGTTCCACATCTATTGATATAATGTACATGCATGTGCTTTTGAAGATAACCTATAATCTTTATCTCATGTGAAATATAATCTTGAGAAAATTCATTGGAATTTTGCAGCCATGTTTCCCACCTCTCAATTAAATCTTGTCTTCCATCTTTTTACTAGACTAATTCAAAATTGTGGTTTGAATTTACAAAACAAAACCTACTTTGGAATCTCAAGACATTTATAAATATCTTTCCTGAAGTAATGCTGCACTATTGATGCTTCAGTATCAGGAATAAAGACTAGGCAAAAGGATTGAATCTGGACTGTTCTTGCAAGTGACATTTGTTCCATGTGCTCTCATTACTATCTCTTTGACAGCATGAAAAGTTATTTTTCTATTTCCAGTATTTTAAAATAAGATAATATGTAGATACATTCTTTCTATGTTAAGATCACTTTTTAATATCTTCTTTTAGATCTTGTTGTTCTCTGATGATGGCTGCACTTTATCTTTTATAAATGAACTAATTTTATCTTTCAGATTGGTGTTCTTTTACTGCTTTATTGCATTTTATTGCATACATTATACAGAGATTAGAAACACAATTTGATGCACTGTTAAATACTATTATTAACAACAATAAACATGCCAAAATAAGTACTGTAACACCCAAATCTGCTCTGAGCTTTCTAAAATCATAGCAGAATATTTTGTAGTAGAAATAACCACACAGAAATCTAGTACTATTATTTACTAACACAAGGCTGATATCCTTTTTCACAGTTTTTTGCAATCTTACGTTAATAATTAAATATAATTTAGTATATTAATAATTAAATATAATTATACCTTTGTTAATACAGGGTAGCCTCACTTATCAACTATATTGGACTTAGCAATTAAATATAATTTAGTATATTAATAATTAAATGTAATTATACCTTTGTTAATACAGGGTATCCTCACTTATCAACTATATTGGGCTTAGCAACTCTGTTGCTAAGTTAGTGCAGTTGCTAAGAGAAACATCACATCATCGCACTGACGTATGGCTTCCATTCTGGATGTAGTTATTAACCGAATCACCATGGGTTGTTAAGCATGACATGCAACTTCCTGTTAGCTTCCCCCATCGTTGGAAGCTAGCTGTGAAGGTCATAAACGGCCATCACATGATTGCGTGATGCTGTGGCCATCGTAAATGTTCATCAGTGGCCAAGGACATGAATTGTGATTGTATGTCTGCATGACACAACTTCGAGGATTGGTTGTAAATCTCCTTTATTTCGGTGCCATTGTTAACTTCGAATGGTTGCTGAATGAGTGGTCAGTAAGTGAGGACAATCTGCAGTAGATACAAGTTCCATCAGGATAAAAAATGTATACTGATTACTGCACAGATTTGATCTGTGGCCACTCATTTTCTACCTAAGCTGCTTTATACCCTTTTGGGAAACTGCGTTTTGCCTCATTTATGACCTATCTCAGACTCCTTGTTGAAGTATACTTAAATGTACAAAATTTCTGCACTATGAGCCAAAGTGATGACAGGGTTGGATTCCTGAGCTTAAGTTTTTGGGACAGAACAAAATGATTGCTATCACAAATTGTAATGACTGAATCATCAACTATGAAAGAAGCCAAACACCACAAGATGCTGAACACAAGAAATCTACTCATGTTTGACAGAAAGGCTAAGAATTTGATCTAAAGCCTTTTTTAAAAAATAAAAATAAAAAAAGCAGCAACAAAAAAGGCCCTTGTTATTTTGTTCTTTGCCAAAGTCAGTAATAAGGCAGCACTCAGTTTTCCCAAATGATTTTAAAGACATTTACATAGTTTGACAAAAAAATATATTTAATTTACTTGAAAATGATCTAACAAAATCTGACTTCATTATCAAACATATTTACCCTGGCTACATATGAGACCTATTTATTTCCCTTTAATAAAGAAGCATGTGATGCACAGAGATCAAGTAACTTTATATCAATTAATATTAATATTAATTAAAGTTTGTTTTATTTAGAA